ATCATAACAAAACCTAAACTCTTTTATTCACTCAGTCTTATCAAGCATAACAAAGACACACTTATAATCATCAACCCTAAACTTTAATAATTAATGCAAAAACCAGTCTCTACATAAAAAATACAAGAAATAAAATCAGTATTTTTTTTTAAAATTATGTTTTATTTTTATTTAAATAAGAATGGCTGTTGTATGATCAATGATATAAAAAATAATTATCGAAAATATTACATCTAGGATATGATGATATTTTAATGCAAAGATTAATTTCTATATGTTGTTTGAATAATTAAATCAAAAATCATTAAAATAAGTTTTTTCATAAAATACTGGGTTTTATTCTTTGATTTTTATCTGCAGTGAAACACATCTTTTAGGTTTAATCCATAATCTAACTATCTATTAGATGAAAAAATTGTAAAAGATTGATTATCAAATTAATTATTTTTCCAATTCTCATATCCAAAAATTACTAAAATAGTCATAGGTTTTGTGATTTTTTTTAATTGTTTAGTAAATTTATTTAAATAAGTTAAGAAATAATTAGAATTGAAAAAAAAGTACGATATAAATTAATTAAGTTAATTTTAACATAATTTCCATAAATATTTACAAAAAAACCACAAAATTCCTTGACTTCACCTCACAATCTTGAATTTCATCTTATTATAATTAACTTCTTTTATCTATGAAGTAATTTATGGCTTTAGGATAAATTTATTACAAACCACTATAAATTTATACAAAATCTTTTCAAATAACTGATGCCCCAACATGAATCTTCTAATAAAAAATTATTATCTATTTTTTATAATTTAGTTATTCTTTGAGATGAATTTCTATAGAGAAACTACATCTGCTGATATCCTTTCAGTTGGTTAGAAAATATAATATTTTAATCATCATATAGTATTTTCACTATAGAACACATTAAATACTTTGTTTAGGAAGAAATTTATTCTGTTATATGTTGTATTAATCTTATATTCCTAACTTATCATTTGAATAACCAAGTATATTTTATTTTTCTTTAAACCATCTTTTAGATGAAAGTATAGGTTAATCCATCATTGTCCTATTTATGATATTACAGAATATTCTAGAAATATACATATTCATTATTACCTTAAAGCTGAAATTTCCTTTCTGAAATTTTTTCGACTCTTTTCCCTTTCTTATTAGTATTTTAAGCTCTTTTTCATTTTAGAAACCTTACAAATGAATGCTGAGCTAGAACAAAAATTTGATTTTATAATGAAAAATTTATCTTTGATCCATTTTTTTACCTTTTTAGGATATTTATTTTTCATAATATCTTTTGTGTCTATGAGCAGGTATTTTATAGAAATATTCATTATATTGAGAACTTTAAGATTCATTTAACATCAAAAGAGATTTATTTATTAGTCTATTGAAGCAATTAATTCTGAATTCTAAGATTTTATTGGAAATAAAATTTGTATTCTTGATTTTTCTTCAAATAAGATATTGATTTTGGTTTACTTATTCATGAAAATCAGATAAATCACATTTAAAGAATTTTCTAAGAAATCTATTCAAATTGATATCATCCTTATCTCTTATTAATTAGTAAATTTCTCTTCAGCTATTCATTAGAGTAAACAATTACCACTACTTTTCCAAATACCTATCGTATAAATACAAGTTTAGATACTAATTGAAAAACCTTTCCATCTTAATTTTCATCGTAAATACCTTATTCCAATGCTTTAAATATATCAATTCCCCATTAATCGGCTATCATTTCATTTTATAATTTAAAGTTTTTAATAATAAATTTGTGATTAATGAATCGCCAAATGAAATTACATTAACTGTTAATGAATATGAAACGCAACAATAGTGGTTGTTTCAATTATTAAAACTTGTCAAAATTCATCAGAAAGTTTCACCATTTATTAATAAAAAAAAGGTTTTCCTTCTAATCAAATTATAATAGAAATATTTGAATCTAATTAAAAATAATAGAAATTAGACATTATAATACTTACATAAAGAAGATGATATAGAAAGACGAGTAAGAATAGAGATAATAATGTAAAATTACAAAAAGAAGCCAAATTATTGATGAAGTCAAATAAAAAAAAACTGAAGTGATTGATAAGGATTTATTAAAATGTAACAATATTTAAAGTTAAACAATTATTTGATGAAAGAAATTATGAAGAAGCCCTTTTAGAGATAGAAGAAAAAATCAAGCAGAATGAACTTCTCAAGGAAAATAAGAAGAATAATGATGAATTATTAATGCATAAATGTAGAAATTTATTTCAACTACAAAAGCAATTGTTTTAATATAATTAGATAAATATGATGAGTTTCTGGAATGTATTAATCAAGCAATTACTTTAAATCCAAAAAATGAAAAGCTTCTTTATCACAAAGGTATAATTTATCCACAAATTATTTAAGGGATAACGTTAGTGAAGTTAGATTAATATTAATAGGCTTTTTAATGTTTTGATGAAGCAATAAAAATCAATCCTGATAATTAAGCATCTCTAATTTACCTAGGTAAAGAAGTTTATTATTTCAATATAGGGATAACACTAGAAGGTATATATAATTATAATGGGGCTTACAAATGTTATAATGAAGCTTAGAAGTATGATCAGAATTTTTAGTTATTAAATATTCTGAAAGGTATTATTCAATTCAATTGTAATTTTAGCTTCAACATTATTTTCAATCTAACAATACAAATAGAAGTAATAGGTAGAAAATATGATGAAGCTATTGAATTGTGTGATAAACCATTTTCGAATACTGATTTGGATAAATTTGCTTATACTACCAAAGGTATCATAGATTAAAGTAAATTTAAGGAAGGGCATTACTGATGAAACTTAGATACGAAGAAGTTATTAAAATTTGTGATAAAGTAATACAAATAGATGAAACTTTAGCTGAAGCCTATGATATCAAAGGTAAGATTAATTATAAATTTATTTCCTTTTTGGAAGGATCTTAGCAAGTTTATTGAGGCCTGAGGAAGCGATTTAATAATGCCAAAAAGCCATTCAATTAGATTCGAAAAATTATGTACCTTATTCTACCATAGGTAAATAATTATTGAAGGTTAATTTAGCTGGCGCACTAATTTAATTACGCCGCGAAGAAGAGGCAATTGAATATTGTGAAATGTCACTTAAGATTAACCCAAGAGGCGATATAGCTCTTGGCAATAAGGGTATCACTAAACTATATAATTAAGGAATTGCATTATTTGATTTAAATAGGTTTGAAGAAGCTGTTGAGTGTTTTGACTAGGCCCTTTCTATAAGATAGAATCATCCTATAATAAATTTACTAATGGGTATACTTTATTTTGAATAATCATTTAGGAACTGCTTTAGCGGAAAATAATATGTATATACCCATATTCAATTTAGAAATGGAAGAATGAAGAGGCCATTGAGACTTTTGACTAATTAATTTCATTAGAGCCAAATAATTATTAAGCATTTTATCAAAAAGGTAAATGTGTATTTTACAATTTTAGGAAGGTCTCTAATTAATTCAGGTGGATTTGTGGAGGCAATTGTATCTTTAAATAAAGCCCTTAAACTCAATTCAAATGTTTTTTCAATTTGGAATTCTAAGGGTATATTAAATTTGACTAAAAAATTAGGAAGATTGCTATTGAATATGAATAGATACGAAGAGGCTATTCTATGTTTTAAAACTTTATTTTAATTAAACTCAAATGATAATGTAGCTATTGAATAGATTAGTAAAATTTATAATCTTAAATTTTAGGAGAGACATTAGAGAGTTTAAATAGAATTGAAGAAGCCATTGCTTTCATTTCTTAAGCTGTAATAAATAATCCGCAATCTCATGTTTCAAAATTTTAGATGGGTATATTTTAAATCTTATAATTAAAGCAAAAACTTTATTAAGAATCGGGAGCTTTGAAGAAGCCTTGATTTTTTCACAATAAGCCTTAAGTATGTAACCTTAGAATCAATAGTATTTACAGCTTTATTGTAATTATTTATATAATCTTTAGGCAAAGTTGTATTTATGTAGTAATTGTCAAAAGGATGTTTGGAAAAAAATGAATAAGGGAATTGAATATAATTGGAAAATATTATAATACAAAAAAAAACAAATATTTCTATTAAATTATTATTGTTACATCTTTATAGAAATGGCTATTAAAAATATATGAATAGTATTCCTGCTGTTTGATAATAAAATTATTAAAACAACAAATATATTTATTTAATTAATAATAATATTAAGATTGATTTGAGAGCATTTATATGCTGTAAATAACTTTTGATTAACAACTATCATTACAATACATTAAGAGTTGAAATCAATTTAAATTATTGATAAACAAATTATGATATAGCCGAAATCAATCACAACCCTCAAAATGTTTTATTTTTAGTTTAGGATTTTGTTGTTGTTAAAAAGTTTTAAATTATAAATAATATCAATTTCAACATAATTTAGAATATATTTGGTTGTCATCAATCTGATCATTATCAATTAGTAAAATTTTATAAGGCAGTTTGCAAATCTGTCTAAAATAATTTTTAATTGTATTTTTGATATAGAATCAATTAATTATTTATAACCTAATTTTTCAAATAATGTATTGAATCAAATCCATCATACACTTTAATTGACCCATTCAATCTGTCAAAATAAATATGATTACTTATGTTAAGGCTTAGAATTTTAAATTTCCTTTAATACTTTAAAGATATAATTCAATAATTAAACACACCTCAAAGATAAATCTTCTTTGGTTTATAATTTTATAGCTAATTTAATTGAAATGAATACAATTATGAGCTCTTCATTTATAATGTGGCAATAAAAAACGCAGGATAAATTTTTAGATGAAAAGAATATCTTGTATTATTATGCTATATAATTAATGTCTACAATACAAAATTCTGTATTTTTTTTAATTAAATGTTTTTGTTTTCAGAAAGACTATCATCTGGTTCAAAGGCATAACAGTTTTATTATCAAAAATCAAGATCATTTAAAATTATATAAACTTTGCTTTTTGAATTATCAATTGAAATCAATAATTTAAACTCAAATTTAGTAATGCTGAATAATTAAATGTTTCACAATAATTTGATTGATAATTTATCTGAGCAAATATTAAATAGGTTATTACTAAAGAATTTGTGAAAATTTAAAAATTAGTAACTCTTGGTGTTGTGATTAGAAAAACAAATTTGTGTTTAATAGAAATGAATTAGGGGTATATTAAAGAAAAAATCAAAAATACCCAAAAAAGTGAATAAGTGAAGTAGTAAAGAATATCTATGTTATTTTAATTTGTTATTGACAACTATTATCAATTTTCACTTATTCAAGGCTTTAGTTTAGAAGAGGTGATTACTTGGCCTGTCTTTTAAAGCTTTTTATAAATCTTTCTTGGAGTTAGACATCTCTAATATTGTATAGATTGATGATTTGTGTGTTAATTGATTACGTTTCTTTATTTCAACCCTTCAAAGGCTAGGACTATCATCTGGTACACTGAACATATCAGGAGGGATACTCTCAGACAAGTTTTGCGATTCTTTAAACCTTATGAACTCCTATAACATAGCTCAAGCTTAGGTGATATTTTAGCATCTCAAAACAAGAGTTTAGAACATTAAAATACAATGGTATTTAAAATTTTTGTGGATTGGATTTTAATTGGTACTAGTAGAAAAAAGTTCCTTCAAATACCCATTATACTTAGAATGGTATATGGTTTATTATATAGGTTTTTAACAAACTTTTTATTTGATATAATTAGCATGAAAATTAGAAAATTAGCTGGATTATTAAGTTGACAATTCTGATAATTAAAACATTTTACAAATCACTTTTATACCTTCCTATGTTTATGATGAGAAGACCCATAATATTCTGCAAAAGGGGATTTAATAAATATTTAAATGGGTGTACCTTATGAGACTTAAAGATAAGACACTTAAGCACAGACTTCAGTAAAATTTATAAAACAAAATGATTCCTTATTCTAATTTTGATATTTTTCATAATATATTTTGATATAATTATAATTGCAGTTTCCAGAAAAATAAATAAGCAATTATTTGTCAATATAGAGATTCTTTAAAGAATTAAGAAGTTTAATACACTAAAAATAAAAGAGTTTAATGGATAAAATATTAATTTTTTAGGAAAGTGAGAGTAGGAAACTATCTTATGATACTCATACAAAAAAAAATTCCGATTACAGAATTAAAAATTTAGAAACTTACAATTCCTCATTTTTTAAAGAAATATTTACGTAATTTTACTGATTATTTGTAAATATACAACTATCATCAGCGGTGATATTAATTATTAGTTGAGAAAGAATACAAACAAATATTATAATTTAGTCACTAAGAAGATTATTGGATGAAATTAGCTTTGTACTTAATTCAAAAAATTGACTACCTAATGATTCATAAAAGTATAGAATGGGAATGTACAATAAAACCTAACAAATTCTATAAATTCACTTATTAAAAACAACTATCAATATCATAAGTAATCCTTAAAGAAGATTTATTCAAAATACCAGTGATTAATATAAATTTGTTAAATTAATACCTAGATTTATATGATATATGATGATATGTAATAATCCTAACTAATATAAATCTAATATGATAATTATCAGATCATAATAAACTAAAGCCTAAAAAGTTTTATTTTTATCCAAAAAATCTTACAAATTAAGTGACTTAATTCTCATTGAGAAAACTTAAACTTTCAAAATAAGAAAGCTCTATGATGAATATTATACAACTTGATAATGATAAACTAGATTATTATTACAAAAAAATTATGTCTCTAAGCATTGAAGATCTATTGAAGAGATAAAAAGAAAAAACAATATTCAAAAATGAGAAAGAAATACGGAAAGACCTATAGATATTTTTGTTTGAAGTAACAATGGATACAATGGCTAATAATAAGAAGGCTGTCTCCTATAATTTAGTCAAGTTCAAGAAACTATAATCTTCTTTGAATGAAAATGATGCTATAGCAATACTTTTTGAAGAGTAGACTCAATTAGATTTCATAATTAGTCTAAGGTTGCTCCCTCTAAATAAGATGCATCCACAGATCCCTATAAAAGGGTCAGTTTAGACCAATTGTGCTTCTAAGTCACTTCATTAAATTGATTGAGGGTAATTTATGTACTGATTTCAAAACTCTGGACAAAAAAAATTAATTCAATTTAGATTCTTGACTCAATTATACAAGAACTAAATTGTTAAGTGGAGGAGTGCAATCTTTTTAGATCTATTGAGTACTGATAATATGATACATAGAGATAAAAGGTTTGAACTATGGAGAAATGAAAAGATATTTTAAGGAATTCTGAAGAACTTAATGGATATATCAATAGGCTATAAATCTATGATATTCACTAGGGTTCTTTATTTGCCTCTTTTCCTTTTGAAATGTATTTTGATTAATAGATTAATAAACTTGAAAGTTTATTAAGGTTAAACAAAAGATTCTGAACCACAAAGATTACTCGAAACTACTAGAATATTTGCCTATACTGATTTTGAGATAACAAATATAGGTCTGAATTAAAGTGTTTGGATAAACTTGGCTTCGAAATGGTCAAACATTTTAAACATCTTAGGTATTTATATCTTCAAGGGGAAAATATTAGAGAAAATAGGAGACATATGAAATCCAATCTGGCTTTTTATGTAACCAATCTAAGGGTTTGAATAAGATACTTCATTGGAGGCTTATGAAGTAGCTTTAGCCCTCATAAATTAAACTCCACTATGATTATGTTGTTCAACTTATGCAAAACTATGCTATTAATGAGCTAGAAATACAGTATGAAATCTATGGAACTTCAATAAATAAGATTTTGAAGTTGGCTAAGTCTAAAATAAATCATGTTATTGATGAAATATGGAAGTCTTTTTGCTTTAAGTCAATAGCTCCTTTAACATAGTTATATTATATTAATCTTTTAGGAATTAAGTGATACAAAAATTAAGTAATTTAGCAATAAATAGTAGCTAAAGTTTTATGAAAGAATTTTGATTTTTAAAGTGAAACTTACCAAATTAAATTGTGCTCATAAATGGGTAATCTTATTGAGAGACTGAGAAAAGTCATAGCTTAGTCTTTAAGTTGATCCCCTAACAGATAAAAGTTAATTTAAGTTATCATAAATTTTAATATAATTAAAATATGAAATTCTAAATTTATTTTTATAATTTTTGAAAGTATTACTAAGTTTTGTTTGAAATTATAACAATCCCATTAGTTATTAACTAATTCATCAGATCTA